GCCCCTCTGATTATAAGAAATGTGGTTTTTATTGTCTTTTTTTTTTTTTTTTTTTTTTTTGTTAAACTCACCTTTCACAATGTACCTCTTTGTTTTGTAGTCATTGATTGCCTCGCCTGATGGTACAGCTCAGGCAGAGTTATGGCTGAACTCAGCTGGCCTCTAGCTTGTGGAAGCATCATAGGATCAGGCTCACCCTGAGTCACCCCGATGCGAGTGCCACGACATGAAAAAAACGAGTGGCAAATGATAAATACGTTTTAAAAGATTCATCGATTTCTGGCCTCTTGACGCCCGGCTCTGCGCAAGCGGTGCTACACGAGGAGGCTCTCTGTTTCCAGAGGGTAAGAGTGACTCGTGCCACCCTTGGGAACAGAGCACTAGCAGGTGTCTCCCAGCTCCCGCGCTCCCTCCCGGTACCGGGGCAGTCACCTCACCTACGTGTGATTAGCCGCTGTGCTGGATTATATAGGTTGCCATGAGCATGGGTTTTTTTCTGTGTAATCAAAGGACTGAATGTGAAACACAAAGTAAAACTCTCCATTCTACACTGGCATTCAGGTACATGAAAGCGTATTTCTTCAAGTTAGTTTTTATCATGTGGAAATGGGTAGAGGTGAAAACCAAACAGCATGTCTAATGCTAGCATCCGTGTGTTCCCACAGGAGGAGAGGAGCCCACGAGGGGAGACAGGCGTTTGTACAGGTACCCCCTGAAATCAGATAACACTTGTGTGTGCAGACGAGGCCTGAGGATCTCTGGTAGACTGGGGGGGAACCGGCTTTAGCGCTTGGCTGGAAAGATGACGACGGTGATAGAGCCGGAGTTGTTTGTGGGAGCGTGGAGGTCTGTCATGTCAGGAAACTTGGCGAGGCAGGGAAGAGGTGTGTTATCTCTCTTCCGTCACAGGCAGCACAAAACAGTCTCAGCACAGACACCGGAGCCTTAACGCCGTGTACAAAGGCACACATTTCGTAACCAAATACACGATATCTGACAAACTGTTCCCATTTATTCCAAACTTTCACCATTTAAACCCGTAAACTGCAAAGGAGCAGTGTGTACTACCTGAGTGCGTAAGAAATAAATCTGCCAGGAATCTTTGCTCTTTCGTGATGGACCCATAACAAGGAGCTTGAATCAGAAGCACTAGAATAAGGGGAAAGCAAATGCATTTACAGCTGTGGTTTCAAGCTGTGGCCGTAATGGATATGGTAGTTCATCATCGCTGGCTACGCAACCAAAGTAGTATCATAAAAACGCTTTCAGCTAAAAGCTTCATCATAAGGGTGAACGATGCTTGCCTGAAATTTTGAAGGTTGCAGTGCTCTGGTGGGCCAAAGAAATTGGGAATCATTGCTCTACAGGGAAGATGTTATTCTATTACATACATCAATATTTCATTTCTGCTGATGCTTACTTTCCAGCCACCGCTACTTCTAAAACAAACATTTTGTTATACACATGGGATCACAAATTCTGATACACACACATATGCCCCAGTGTCCACACAACCGAAACTCAGTAACAAGCTGTTGCCTGAGAAGCAGCGCCAACGAAGCCTGGACTCACGCAAGTGTACATCTCATGGGTGGATACGCTCTCCTGTGTTTAATAAAGCGCAGGCTCCGACTGACGCTTTCTCCATTCTTGGGGCACCGTCAGCATCACTCCCCTGGACTCTCTGGTGTCTCACGAGGGTTACTCTCATGCCGCAGCCTCTCCCTTATTACAGCATGTGCACACGTACACACCCAAAGTGATTGTGCAAGCCTCATTTCCTAGGGAAACTAAGCTAAACATGTGCCAACAAATTACTTCTTAAGCCCTCACCCAGCCCTTGTGGCTATACCATGATATCACCCTCTCCACATTACCTCACTCCCATCTACCACCCACACCCTTCACGTCTCCTTCTGTCGCCCCTGCCGTACGAAATATCAGCCCTGAAGGATGGGGTTGTGATTGCAGCCTTGTGCTGAAGTCAGCGACTGCCCTGCCTGCGCTGCATTTTAGGTGGCAACTCAAGAAACCAAGTTGTTTGGCAAGTGGCCTTCATGATGGAGCAGTAGCCTATCTCGCTGACGAGTAAGAGATTTGCAGCAGGCTTAGTTGGCAGAATTAGGAAGCGGGGTATTACTTTTGAATAGCGGGTTTGTAAGGTTGTAGCTGAGAAGGCTCAGCTCGTGTGGGACGGGAGGCATCTGCGTCGTCTTGACCTACGTCAGCGGTGCCTCCTCATGGACCAGGCTGCAGCTCTGCACCGGAGCCCGAGCTAGGGCCAAGGGACACCTGGGATTTTCCAGCAGGAACAGGCCAGGGCTTCGAGACATGAGGGGGAAAGCCTGGAGCGGGGTTACACAAGCAAAGGTGCAGGCGTCAGACCTGAGCGAATGCTGGGGTGACCGTGAGGTTGGCGCGAGAGTCCCCAGGCTGTCACGCGTGGATCGCGCGGACACCTCGCCGCCTCGAGTGAGCACTCGAGTCTGCAGCAACCTTTCCCGGGTGTCCTGACGTGGCGGTGCTGACTTCTCATCACCCCCAAAGCGTGCCGTGTCCTGGCTCCCCCGAGGAGCTCTACCTTGCTCTCAGCCTGTGAGCGGGGAGCAGCGGGTTGGGGGGAGTGAATGGTGCCTAAGTAAGGAGGCAGCTTCCTACCCTGAATTTTTGGAAGATGCTGGATGACTCTCATTATCCCAGCTTCCCACCTGCAGCGCACGACCCAAACTCTTAAGCTGAAATAGGATGGGCCTCTAGCATACGTACCCAGCCGGGTGAGCTAACTCGGGTCTCAGGCTTCCCTGGCTCAGGGAGAGTCACTCAGGGAGTTACTTTTCTAACCAAAATTCAAACACAGGTAAGAGGGAACTGTGATTAACCGTGATGTGAGGATACACACACGACACGCAGATAGCTTAAATCTCCTTTTTTTACAGCACAGTTATTTCTCGCATCCATATCACTTTCCTGTAGTTTGGTCACCTTCCAGCCTGCGCTTTGTTAAATACAGTTATTTTTTTATCTTCTCCTAGCTTTGCTTTTTGCTTCATTTCCCTTCTCTCGTAATTTTCTTCCTCACTGTAGTTTCTCCATTCCTTGCTCCTGCTCCAGCTGCAGCATTTGTACTAATCACGATTGCTTAAAGCTCTATTTCAGACCTGATGTAGTAAAGTGCTGTACCGTCCCTTTTCCCCCCTAGCAGATGTCTTTATTTTGCAGGTTTTACTGGGGATATTGATGTCTTTATTTTGCAGGTTTTACTGGGGACATTGCTAACCAAAGGGCAACAAGTCTGGCGCTAGCAGGCTATGTGGTTTGTCTAAAATGCATTCTCTAATGGTTAATGCATTTGATGGGCTTTTGGATATTCCATTAGCTAGAGCTGTAAAATGCCTAAATACCTTTGACAGCCTGGCCCTTAAACTTTACCCTTGGTATCCCTTATTCAAGGTGAGATTTTTGGTTTTTTCTAACCGAAGACAAGTTTCCAAGGCGTCATTTCCTCACAGACTTCATCCAGCACCCAGGTGTGATCACCTAGGTAAGCCGTGCTCACCAGCAGCACCCAAAGCCCAGAACCGCACCCGTGTCCAGCCTGCGTAACCACATCCACTTTGCATTTACCACAGCCCGGCCAAGGGTGGCTTGCCATGGTCTCGTAGCCTTGAACTACACTCAGATCCACGTCGTGGTGCAAGAAAGGAAAATCTATCTCAAAACCTGAGTGTGGGAACAGTCCCTCTGTCCTGAATAGCATAACGTGCTTCTGTCTCAGCGTGTTCCTCCTGCCAGTTCACTGCAGCTGCTGCCAGGGCCATGATGCAGGTAAGTGAAATGCCCCTGCTTTTGACCCTGCTATTGCACATGCCCTTTGTAAAGAGGCTGAGGGCACTGGGCTTGTTCAGCCTGGAGAAGAGACCCTGTTTGGAGCAGAAGGATGGACTACAGACTTCCTGAGGTCACTTGCAACCTGAATTATCCAATGAACCTGTTTGATCCTACAAGTTTGCTACAGCCTTCAAACTAAAAGCACTCTCACAAGAGAAATCCTACCCAGCCAGAAGCAGATTGGTACCATCCCCTGAAAGAGCTCCCTAGGATGCTCCTAGCCCATGGCCAAACAGCTCAAGAGTTAGCAAACCCATTAGCTGTGCTCGGGGGATACGGTCCTGTCAGAATTCCTGTGATTCCTTACCCACAATGAACGCGGCTTGTGCATCTGGAGCAATAGCTGGCATGAAGGAAACAGGGGTCCTGGGCAGCCCCCATGGCCCCTACTGGCACCTACAGGGCCGCCCTCCACCCTCATATGGAATAAGGGCCATCCCAGCTCCTCCGTTGTCTAGATGCCGGTTGGACACAGAGATTGGTTCACAGAAACTGCCTGGCACGTCTACGCTGGTGCAGAGGAGACGTGGCTTATTGGCTCAGACAAGCAAGAACCTTATTCCATCCAAACAAGGCAGTCGCTAGGAAGGC